TCCATAAAGGGGTCCTGGGGGCAGAGTGGTGATGAGTCAGGCTGCAGCGGGCAAATTCAGCAGTTCCGCACCACCAGCGTCTTGGACACCCCCAGGGGCAGTCCCCCTGTTCTACAGGGGACACCCACAGGGGCAGTTCCCCCCTGCCCTATAGGGGACACCCCAGGGGCAGTCCCCCCTTTTCTATAGGGGATACCCCCAGGGGCAGTCCCCCTGTCCTATAGGGGCGCTAAGTCCAAATCCCTGGAGGGCAGTGGGTTTGTGGGTGTGTCCTGTGCCTGCCTCTCACTCAGCTTCCCAACAGCAGCAGCTTAAAAAAAAAAGTTATTAAAAGATCATTTTATTGGGGGCTCTCGCAGCTCTTATCACAACCCATACATCAATTGTATCAAGCATAGCGGTACATAAGTTGCCATCATTCTTTTCTCGACATTTACTTTCTATTGCGCCCTTGGTATCAGCTCCTCTCCGCCCCACCACCGTGACCCTTGATAAATTATGCTTTTCATATCTCATATTGACCGTTGTCTCCCTTTCCCCATGGTGTCTGCTGTTCATCTCCTGGAGAGGGTGGGTGTGTGGCTATGTGTCGATCATCGCAATTGGTCCCCCTCCTCCCTCCCCACCTTCCCCTCACCCTCCTGGTGCGGCTACTCCCATTCCTGGTCCTGGATTGCATGTACCCTGGGCTCTTGTCTCTTATCTGCACCGGTGCACATGCTCCGGCCTAGCCCGCAGTGAAAGGCAGGACTGGGGTCATGAGAATGGGGGGGTGAGGAAGCCTCAAGGGACCAGAGGAATATTGTGTGTTTCACGGGTGCTTGCTTTACTGCGCCCCGTTGACTCATCCCTTCCCTGTGACCCTCCTGTGGGGGGCATGTCCCATTGTCTACAGAGGGGTTTGGGGTCTCTGCTCCGACCCCCCTCGTTCTCAACCATATCGGTTTTTGTTAGTTTGCTTTGGGTCTTCTGATGCCTGTTACCCAGTCCCAACGACACCTCATGGTGGCACAGGCTGGTGTGCTTCTCCCAGGCGGGCTTGCTGCCTCTCTGCTAGCTGGTCCAGCAAAGGCTTTCATAACTCACTGCTGGAGATCTTTGGGGAGATGCGGGAGCAAGGCCTTTGGGCTTCAGGAGCCTCAAGATTGTGTTGGCAGTCACGTGGGGACTTGTGTCACCCACAGGGCTCTCTGTGTCACCCACAGCCCCTTAGGTCATCAGACACCCACTTCAGCCAGGTGAGGACGCTGCAGCGACAAGGCATCAAAACACAGAGGCTGGGAACAAGCACTGGGTTCCATTTTAACAGCGGGGTGACGCTTCGGGGCGGAGACAGCGCCTCTCATCTCTCCCCTCCCCACTGGTAGGCATCTGGCATGTTCACACCCTTTTCTTTCTTTCTTTAGCAGACGGGGTGCCATACACAAATGCATGTAACATACATGTACCAGGATGGCACATCCTTTCCTACGTCAGTCACAGCGGGTTAGAACCGTCCGAGCGCGGCGACCAAAGCCTGTCCCAAACGGGCCGTCTTTTCTCTTCTTCTGCAGAAGGAAAGAGTCGCGGCACAGTCACCACCAATCCCGTGTCCGACGTCCGTGGCTGCGTTCACGGCACCAGGGCAGCGTGGCAACTGACACCACAAGGCACTCAGAGCCGTGGTAGGGAGGGTCTGCCACGCTCCGCTTGGACGGACTGCTGCCTTGCGGGAGGAGTGCGGGAAAGACCACCTGGGAAACCTGGGGCTTCGAGGAGGGAGGGGCCTTGCCTTCTGA